ACTTATTACCCACATATGCAAACACAAGAAATAGCCAAACGTTAACTACACACTGTACTCTAGATTCATACCAACTGCTCAGAATGCACAAACACTCTCTATGGTTTCACTGTCATAAAACCAAAATGCACACAGCAAAACTATTACCATGCACAATAACCAGGAAAAAACAAGTGGGCCAAACCTTTGAATTCTACCTCCTCAAGTACCACCATTTGCTCTTAATTCTTGCAACTAAACTAGGAAAAACAAGAAAAATAATGCCGCTAATAAGAAAAATCAAGACATTTTGAAAGCAACTTGATTAGAAAAGTGTGATAATAACAAGTTATGACAAAAATTAGTACCTAAATATCAATTTTTAATATTGTCATAACAGTCACTATCCTCCAAAGAAATTTCATGCATTGCATGTGTCTTTTGCTTTGTTTCCAGCATTTCAACTTCACATGTAGAAACATTCGGAATGCTTTCATTTTTCATACTCATCTAATATGCTTTAATCCTGCTACTCGCACAACTTGCAGTTCATATCTAATCATCAATATTTGAGAATCGTGGTTATATAATGAAGTGAAGGAATCTAGTATAAAATATACTAGTAGTTGCACCTGTGCGATGCACGGTCATGTATATAGTATATGGAATATACAGTGTAAAAAATAGTTATTGAAAATCTAATAAATTTGAAAAGAAACAGATTGAAATTTTATCACACATTGTTGAAAACTTCTTTGTACACAACATGTTTTGTGTTACTTCGACATGTATCATTTTCATCACAAATCAAAATTTTTAAACCCGTTGAATTACTAACTCTTAAAACAACTACGTACATTTGGCCATGGTTAAAGACGGATTTTTTTTTTTAAAATCCCACTTTTGAAAGAGTTTGTCCTTGCTTTTGTTTATTGTCATGGCATAGGATAGCATCAAAGGAAATTGCATTCGTTGGAATTTGAAAGACAATCTTGGATCTGACGTTGCAAGTGACATTCTGGGAATCAATACTCTAGTACCTGCATTTGTACCGCACATGATATGGGCTTCCAACACGTGATCAGCTAACCTTGTTACAATTAATATTGTACCGTTGCATAAGCCAAGAGTGTGATCAATATTTCTCAAGAGCATAACCTGTGATCCAACTTTCAAAGTCAAAGCATGATTGGGTACTCCAGAACATCGCAAACCGTTCAAGAATTCAAAAGTGTGCAAATCCGCTAACATATCGACATTTGAATCTGACTCACAATATCGGCATTTGAATCTGACTCACAATATCGGCATTTGAATTTGACTCACAATATCGACATTCCTATACAGCTTGTCATTAGCAATGTAACAATCTCCTCAACTTATCGCCAGACACCCAATGACTTGCTTCCTCTATTGCGTCAACATATTCTCTGTCATCATCAATTAAACCTCTAGCATAACACGCATCTCGGAATGAAACATATTGCACACCATTAACAGTTCTTATATCTACATAACTTGTAGGACCACGTACTTTATTCAACAAACACCTCAGATAAAATATTTTGCAGTAGCAGGTGGCACATAAAAAATCCTTCCGATTGAGAAACCTTTTTTTCCTTGGCTGCCATTTTCTAATGTCTTTCTTCCACACGAATCGTTGGCATCTAGCATAAGTAAGAGTTCTTGCATCTGGGAATGTCTTATTAGCCTCAAACCATTCCAAGAACATGCAATGTGCTATTGTGGGTCTATTAACAATGTTCTCAACTGGATCGTCATCGGCAAACACCACAGTTTGTTAATTGGGGAGGTGAAAGCTTAACCTTTCCACTGCCAGAGCCCTAGGTTGTATATCAAAACCAAACAAACGCCAAGCGGCTTCACAGGGTGATATGTACCTACAGTCATAGTACATATTAATCTCATATATGAGTTTCCCAGACTCCTCGTAATTCCTAGTTTTGTAGAACTCGACTGTTACCCGATCATGTCCGTTATTTACATACTTGAACAGATACTTGATTGAGCGCGACTGGTTGCACCATTCGACATTTATATGAGTCTTGTATTTAAGCAATAAATGTCTATTGTGCGGTACAACATACCGGTTATCCAAGGCGATGTCACTCTTTGTAATTGTCTTCCCATTGTCCCTACGTCTATATAAGGGATATCCATCATCATCAAAAGTAGAACAATCCAAAAATCTCTTAGGAAAATGTTTGGAACAGTGTCCTTTTACCATCCAGTTCGAATCTTCGTGTCGAATACAAAAAGGTGGACTATGGTGCTAGTACAAAGGTCTCAAATACTGTGTATATGACAACATTAGTGGAAATTGCTTTCTTTGGAACTTAAAAGGCAATCTTGAATCAGAATGTGTTAAGGACATCATTGGAATTAAGACCTTTGTACCAACACTTGATCTGCACAGTATTTGAGCTTCTAAAACATGATCAGCCAACTTTGAAATGATCATCCTTGTACCATTGCACAACCCCAATGAGTGATCAATATTTCTCAAAAACATAACTGGTGAGCCAACTTTTAGAGTCAATGAGTGATTTAGAACTCCAGAACATCGTAATCCATTTAAAAATTCTGGTGTGTGCAGATCAGCAAGCATGTAAACATTACAATCAGATTTACAAACCGAATCACAACTGAGATATGTCCTTCCTTCAACATTATTATAGTCATTCATGTATGCATTGACTGTATCAACAATATCCAAAGTTGGGGCTAAAATAGCACGATCTTTTAGATATTTAAGATCTCTATGGCCACTGCGAAACATAGGGAATGTGCTATCAACAATTGTAGAAATAGGATCCTCAACACACGTTAGTAAAATTCCTTAGGAATATTTATCTGACATTCTCCATCCATTGAATCACCCATTGTTCCATCACCTATATTAGCAATCCACTTTGCAAATTCTTGCCTCGTGCCCTTTGAAATTACTGGTAGAATCTGTCTGAAATCTCCACCTAACACCACGATTTTTCCACCAAAAGTCATATCAAAGTTGTTTGGATTTTGACACTCATTATATCTCTCATCGTTCGGTCCAAAGCTTCAAAACAGAATTTATGCATCATTGGTGTCTCATCCCAAATGATCAACCTACTTTGCATGATCAACTGTGCCAAAGTACTACTTTGGCTGATATTGCAAGTTGAATCTTCATTAACAGCGATTGGTATTGCAAACCTTGAATGCGCAATTCTTCCCCCTGGTAATAGAAGAGAAGCTATGCCACTTGATGCAACGTTTAAAATTTATCGCACCCTTTGACCTTAAAGCAAAAGACAATGCTCTCCACAAGAATATTTTTCCCGTTCCACCGTATCCATAAACAAAAAATAGTCCTCCAACATTATTCTCAGCATCTTGCAATACATTGTCATATATAGCCCTTTGCTCTTCAGTTAGTTGCTCCACCAAAATGTCATTCTCTTCCTTCATGACATTAATATCATATGCTAATTTCTCCTGTATCAACTGATTAGTTGTTCTAGCATGATTCTGTATCAACCGATTGGTTGTTCCAGCATGATTCTCAAAACAAACTCACGTGCGAGAAAGAAAAATAATAAATATAGTATAAAAATTATATGAATTTAACTCAAGAAAGTTTATACATTAATGCTAAATACAGTATAAAAATATATGAATATAATTCATATTATTTTTCAATTTATACAAAACTTAACCAATAAATAGATGATGGCCGATGATGAAAATCATGTTCTGATGCCTTATAATAATTCATTAGCTAAGAAAGCCCACATTGTTTGATATGACAAATTATTGTGCGGACCATGGTCCACACAATTGTATGAACCATGAATATCATGGACATTTTTTTATATATTAAAAGTACATTATTTTTGTACTGAAGGTATATTATATAAAATAATGTACCCTTAGTATATTAAAAATGTACCTTATATATATAAATAATGTACTCTTAGTATATTAAAAATGTATCTTTTATTTATGGTCCACACAATTGTATGGATCATGGTCCATGCAATAATGATTAGTTTAATATATACTATCCTATCATACTAATTATTTATTAATCAGCTATTTTTGGTTGTAATCAATTAAGCATATGATGATATATTAGTATGATGCTATTCTCAATCCTAATAAAAAGTGAACTAACATTTTCTTATTAATAAGAAAACCATCTCAAATAAATACTACATTTTTACACTATTAATTTTAGTTGAATGTGTATACCTTAACCGAGCATAATAGACGTCATTCAAAACTAAGTTGTTTTTTTAAAAAATATGTATAACAGTTTCTAACTAATAAGATAATCATGGAAAGAAATCAATTGTTTTTTCTTTAAACTTAAATTTCCTTGAATAAATTCAAATAAAATAAAAATGACCTATAAACCTTGTGCTATTACATAGTCCCAATGATTGATCAATATTTCTCATACCCTTCTCCGAACTGTCTTCGAGATTTAATCGGCTCGCAATCGTGTGTAAGCTAATGTTGAGTATTGGTCAACACACGAATTTGTACATTTTCTGCAATAGTACTAATTATGATTAGGGCTTAAAATAAAATGTGCAACACATAATTTATTTATTATATACAAATTTTATCTTTATTACACGGCTGGAAATCACATGATTTCAAAAAGTGGTCGGAAACACTCTAAATTCAGTCGGAAACACCATTTCCGACCACTTTTCCGTCCAAAATGGATATCCAGAAAAATCTTCGTCGGTAATTTCGACCATCAGCAAAAGTGGTCGGAAATTCCGACCATCTTTGTTGGCAGTCAGAAAAAAACCGTCAAACCACGAGTGACTGGTCCGGAATTTTCGACCACCACGTGGTCGGAAATTCCAGACCAACCATCTTGTTGGTTTTTATTTTTCCAACCACTTGCTGGTCGAAAAATCCAAATATATAATTTATTTTTTTAAAATTTTCTATTTGATATGCACTTTCTTAAAAATTATACATTGCTTTAGCAATTTTAAAACAAATAATAATTGCATAACAATACAATATCACTACAAAGATTATACATTTCAATAGCAAATTTAGTTGCACATAATATTCTAATTCTAATATCCACCTAAAAAAAAAACTAGTTTCCAATTCTAAAATGCTACTTTACAAATCAAAATACTTCTTACATCACATGTAGCATCACAAAAAGTGTTAGTATCTTTATTCTATTCCGCTTGCGTAGGAGATTGTGTGTCATCAATGAAACCAAAGTCATCTAGCTCAACGCCACTACTTTCATGGCTGCCGACTCTCTGCAAATTAGGATCAATAGATTGGAAACACTTAATACATATACAATTACAAATAATATAAAAATGTGAAGGCAGGACCATAAAAGTTCATACCTTGCTTGTGCCACGGAATGAATCAAGGACATGAATTTTTCCATCTGGAGTTGTCAAAAGCATAAGTTTGCCATCACTTCTGAACTTGACAACATTTGCATTTGATACATCTCCACCAACTGAAAATATTTCGAATGGGTCGTTCAAGGATGCAACTTTTGACAAATTAATGAATGCTAAGAGTTCAGGTTCAGAAACAAAATAATGAACTGAAAAATGTGACTCATTTTCGGGTTTAGTTGCTAACCTTTTCATACTTGCATGCATCAAACATTCTTATGTATCCACCAAAAGCAATTGCAAAAACAAACCCTTGCTCATCATAAGCAATAGTTGGTCTTCCTTGTATACGTAGAAAGCCCTAAGAACAGAGAGTACATCATTTATAAGTCTCAATGTGAAAGAAGCATGGATAAGCGCTTGCTTAGTTTTTACCTGGCATTTTTCAGCTCTTTGGTCCCAGAGCATAACAGTTCGATCAAGTGAGCCAGAAATAAAGCACTCCTTTTTGGAGCACATACTAAGTGAGGCAACCCTGCAAGTCAAAGATAGAGCATCCCAATTATGGTGCTTGTGTTATGGGGAGTATGTTGAAGGTTGATATACATTAATAGTTTTGTAATATTGTACCTGTAATGATGACCCTTGAAATACCGCAAATATTTGTTATCATGCAACGAGAGAAGCCGCAGAGATTCTGAAACCATTCTAAAATGAAGTGACTATTGGTTTTCTACAACTTGTATACAAGACATATCTAATATAACTTACCATCCCACCCATTCTTTGAAGAGTATATTACAGTTGTTGGATGGGAAGTTACCATCCCACCCACGCTCGGAATCACTTTCACGCACCTGTCGGGGTTGTGTCGAAGGTTGGGACATCAAGCTTTTACCCTTTTGCTTTGAGTTACGTTGCGACATAACTTAGGCTATTAAACCACAGAAAATAATTTAAGCTTCATCATCACAATACTAAGGCAGTAAGCATTATTCTCAAACAGGGATACTAATTATCCCATTGCATTCAAGTAATAATTAACAAAATGTGATGAAATTAACAAGGATTAACTAAGGCAGTAAGCATTATTCTCAAGGATTAACTACACAGTGCTTGAAATTTACAAGGATTAACTAAGGCAGTAAGCATTATTCTCAAACATGGATACTAATTATCTCATATGATAATAAGAGCTAATTAGAGCTAATTATATATGTTCATTACAGCAAAAAATTGTCAAATTTACTCCTAATTAGTGCTCATATTTAATTTAAATCTTATCAAATGATGTGAATCAAAAGCATATTAGTTGAAGTTAGTTAAAAAAAAACGGTGTTAGCAGACAACTAAAATAAAATAAAATTAAAAAAAAAAACAAAAAAAAAACATAAAACTAATTAAGAACTCACTTACAAAACTATATGGTCACTGAGATAGTCATTAACCAAAACTCAAGAGGAACATCTGGAACCACAAGTCCTGAAAGAAATGCATTTACAATATTCAGAAGTATTTGGTCATTGAGATAGTCATTAACCACAAGTATTTGGTCACTGAGATATTTGGTTTAGTGAAGCACTAAAATAGATATTTAGAAGGGAAACAAACCAATTCAAACTTTTTCTTAGAAGCTTCCTTTCTCAAAATTTCAGTTTCCACAAGAGGGACATCTGGAACCACAAGTCCTGAAAGAAATGCATTTACAATTAGGTAATGCCGTATAATAATCATACAAAGCAAGATAAAGCAGCACTACAGGTTCAGAATTAATGTTAAAATTCAGTGAAAAATAAAACTAGAAGAATCATAAAAGGTCATGATACTTTTGTTACAACTCCACGCTTAGGTATAGGGTTATAATAGGGGGAAGGAGCATGAATAACTACAAATTTTAAAACCTTAACTTTCAGAAGCACACAAAAATTAGGAAGGAAGAAACATGAATAACTTACTTCAATGGTGTTGTAGATTGATGGCGGAATAAGGAGCGTCGATGCGTCGTCGAGTGGGTAGAGTGATTTGTGAAATTTGGGAAGGAGGAGGGAGGAGGGAATGGCGCTGGCAAAGTGTAAATTGGAGAAGGCCGAAGGGTATACACTAGCAGTAAGCTAAGGCGCCACAAATTTGGGCTAAAATTTTTAGAATGGCGCTAAAAAGTGAGATTCTTAGGAGTCGTTTACTAACTTGGAAAAACAGAGAATTTTTCAAAGAATTGGAGAAATTGAGTAGTGGAAAAAATAAAAAATGGAGAAGTTGTTTACTAAAATTCATCCTTCAATTCCCTAACTTCTCTCCATTCTCCAACTCTATATACAAATTTGGAGAACTCTTTTACGGTCTTCTCTAAATGGGAGAATTGGAGAAAAGCACGGGTGAACAGTGCTACTTACTTGGATGTTACTTTCCACAGCTTCTTTCTTCTCCCTTCAGCGCAACTACTTTTGCTATTCAAAGCTTCTTTCTTTTCCCTTCTTATGCGCACAATTATTATTATGCCCACATAATAATAATAATAAGGGAAAATGGCACTTTTTCCCCCTATGTTATATACTTATAGCACTTTTTCCCCCTCAATTATTTATGTAAGCACATTAGCCCCCTCAATTATTTTAAAAGTGGTGGTTTTCTCCCCTAATATATTAAATTGACATTTCTACCCTTAAAGTAAACATTTTATTTATTTTACTTCTCCAACAAATTATTGCGTATATGTAGCGATTACCACGGTTCGGTTCGAACTGAACCAGACACTATAGCAATCGAATTAAAAGTTTTCAGTTATGATTCAGATTTAGAACCCAATATTTGGATTTCAATTTATTAAATTTAAGAATAAAAAAAAAAAACTGGATCATGAACCGACGGCTCCGGATCCCGTTCGCGATTTTGAACCGTCTTTATTTTAAAATTTTATTTTTTATTTTAAAATAGTTTAAATTCAACAATAAATGTATTTTATTTTTTCAGTTTGGAACATGAACCGGCCATTCCAGTTCGCGATTTTAATAAACTCTAAATATCGCGTTTTGATTATAAATTGTAATTGGAATATTTTGGTTTGGTTACCATAGTATCTGGTTTGAACCAAATTATAGTAATAATTTATTGGAGAATAAAAATAAATGAAATATTTATTTTAAGGGTAAATATGTCGATTTAACATTTCAGGGGGAAAAAGAGCCACTTAAATAATTGAGGGGGAAAAAGTGCTATAAGTATATAACATAGGGGGAAAAGGTGCCATTTTCCCTAATAATAATAATAATAATAATAATAATAATAATAATAATTATTATTATTATTATTATTATTATTATTATTAACATGTTCACATATTATTATTATTATTATAAAATTATTATTTTTAGAATAATTATAAAATTATTTTGTATTATTGTATTGAACTTTTTAGTATTATTATTAGTGTATTAAAATTTACATTTAGTATTAGTGTATTGAACTATTTTATATGATGAAACAAATTATAAAATTATTTTAAAGAAAATCATATTATTTAGAGAAATGAAAACTGGAGGAATGGAGAAATGGAAAACTGGAGAAATGGAGAAGGAAAATTGGAAAATGGAGAAATGGAAAACTGGAAATGGAAAAACAGAGAAATGAAGTAAACGACCCCTTATTTTTTCTTTCTTTTATTATTATTATTATTATTATTATTATTATTATTATATATATATATTATTATATATATATATATATATATATATATATATATATATATATATATATATATATATATATATATATATATATATATATATATATATATATATGATGCACTCAGGTGCGAATAAGTGCCCAGGAAAGAATATGCAAATGAATCAGCGCGCGACACGTGTCCAGATCTAATAGATTAAAAAAACGCGGTGACATTTTTGTAAATAATTGAACATCGAATTGCAAGTAAAATCACTTACAAGTTCACCTACTTTCACCTATAAGTGCATGTAATTTTGCGTTGTTAACACTCACTTCCCGCAAACATTCATGCACCTGGGTGCACCTACTTATAACTATAGGTGCACTTTGTATTGATGCTCAGTGTAAATTTTACTTGCACCTATAATACATTTTACATGCACTTGTAATACATTTTACTTGCACTTCGATGTTCAATTATTTACGAAAATGTCACCGCGTTTTTTTTTTAATCCATTAGATGTGGACACGTGTGTCGCGCGCTGATTCGTTCGCATATTCTCTCCTGGGCATTTCATTCACAACTGAGTGCAATTATATATATATATATATATATATATATATATATATATATATATATATATATATCATTGGGGTGTCGTGAGTTATATGGTGTATTATTTTGGGTTTGTTGAGTGTTTTTTGGTATTTTTTTGAATTTCATTGTGGTGTGTTTTCCTTACACTTTTGGTGCATGTTGTTAACACTGTTGGTGTATTCTGAAATTTCGCCGCACCGCCGCACGGGAAGACCCCGCCGCATTTGAGCTTTCTTCTATATATATATATATATATATATATATATATATATATATATATATATATATATATATATATATATATATATATATGAACTACTTAAGCAAATAAAAACATAATTAAGCAAATATTATTATATTTACAGAATCATCATTGTCATCTTCTTCAATTTCTTCACTATCCTCTTTTTCTAAATCTTTAGTTTGGACACCTTTAATGGACCATTGATTTTTTCTTTGAGGTAAATTCACTTCATTCATTTGTAATGATTCGTGCACTAATTCTTGCACGTAATCTTGAATATTTTGATCGCATCCAGTAAGTAGGCAACGACGTGTTATCTTGTTGAGTTATGTGTAACTAGAGCTATTGGCAACGGCGTCGTAAACCATTTTCATACATTCTACCATAGTGAAATTAGATATATACATTTGAAACTAGCATTAAAACCAAAAATAGAGCACACATACATTAAAATAGGTTGAATCTCCTCACAATTTAATAACACATATTGGTGAGCGGCGAACTGTTCTTCTGCACTCAAAAATCTTATTTGTCTCTTGCCCATCGACCGACCTGGTCTATTAAATATTGACAAAATAATTGGCAAGTTAGGATCAATGCTGCCATCATTTAGGTTACGACCTATTCTTGTTCTTCGACTATGCACATCATCATCAAAATAAAATGATGCAAAGTGTGTTGCCTCTTCAAGCATATACGCATCAGCAATTGAACCTTTAAAATATTTCTTATTTTTCATTTGGACTTCAAGTGGTTGAGGAATCTTTCAAATAGATACATCCAGCGATATTGTACTGGCCACCTAAACGTGCTTCATAAGGAAGATGGATAGGCAAGTGTTCCATACAGTCAAATAGCGATGGAGGGAAAAAACGTTCTACCTGACACAACGTTAAAACAATAGATTTTTCTATTTCACGTATTTTGTCTACACGTAGGGATGTAGAGCAAAGATTTTGAAAAAATACACTTAACTCAGTCAAAGATTTCTAGCAACAACTTGGTAAAAACATGAAGGCTATATGTAAAAGAAATTATGTTCATTTTTTTTTTCCAATTGTGTGACTGCCCAAACTCCTCAATGCGATCAATTAGACCATCAATAACCCTTGGGATATTTTCGAAACAATGAAACAACTCATCCCCTATCCTAATTGGTGGAGGTAATGATTTATCTACCCGTCGTTTGATGAAAGTATCTCGATTCTTCCTCCAAGAGTGATTCATTGGAAGGAATTGACGGTGACACTCAAACCAACATGTTTTATGACCATTATTCAAGTAAAATGATTTAGAATACTGAAGACAATAAGGATATGCTAGTTTTTTACTGTCTGCCATTCAGATAATATAGTGAAAAATTTCCTGCAAAAAGAAAAAAAATTAATCCAAAGGTGTAAATATTCAAACTAGCTCGATCTAAAAAATGGGATATATAAAAGTTCTAAGAATATATACACATATCTTAGCTTGATTTCTACACTATTGTGAGTGGTTTAGTGAAAAATCTCTTTGAAAAATGAAGAAATCTGTAAAAATGAGTTAAAAAAACTAGAAGAAAAGAAAGCAAATTATTGGGAGGAATGTATAAAAAGTAATTTCCGACCACCAAAAGTGGTCGAAAATAAAAGTTAATTTCTATAAAATAAAAAAACAAACATTTCCGACCATTTTTAAAAAGTTGGATGGAACTTTCCAACTACATACAAGAGTGGACGGGACTTTCCGACCACCCAGTTGGTCGCTAAAACACGCCGACGCACACCCACAAAAAATCGCTAACGTTTCCGACCACGTTTTACACGTAGTCGGAAACTTCCGTCAACTTATAGAAATGGACGGAGATTTCCGTCCACGTATTGAAGTGGACGGAAATTTCCGTCCACTTTTCCGACAACTTTGCCGCTTGACGAAAAAAGGAAAAAAATTCGCCTTTTGCGTCCAAAATTTTTGGTGGTCGGAAAATGATTTCCAGCAGTGATTAGCTTCATCAAATTATTATTTAGCTATATAATATATAAAATAATGTATTATTTAACTATCATGAGTTAAATTACTCATAACTAATGTATTATTTGGCACCACAACCCTCCTAATAATATTAATAATGATAATAAAAGAAATGATAATAAAAGAAATGGATGAAGGATCTAGAATAACACCATCACGCCAAACACACCTCAGTCCTCACCATTTCTTCCCCAACTCGACATTTCTATCTCTCATTCGCTCTGTCTCTCTTTCTCTATTTACCATGGCATGAAATGACTTTTTGATCATGCGGTCTCTCATCCCTATCGTCCTCTCTCTGTCTTGCAGCCTCTCTGCCTCGGCGTCTCCGTTTATCCGCCCTCTGCGTTTCCAGCTACCCACCTGTTTTCTTCGCACTTCTCTGCAATTCCTCCCTCCCTCTAAAAAAAAATGGAGATCGTATCATCTTCCATTGCTACAGAGATCTAGCTCTTCTAATTCCGAAAATTACCCATCGCAAAACCTAAATAAATAGTACATCTTCATTCTGTCTAAGCCCTAAATTGTTCGAACAACATATATCATGTTGCATGGCTATAGAGGCAGATTCTGTAAGTATGGTTTCTTTACTCTCTACCAACAAACATATAATTTTGTTCATTACATTGAAACCCTAACTCTTTCGTTTACAGATCTTGCTACATCCGAAAGTCAATAAAGGAAGATATATGTTGAAGAGCACTGGAAACAGTTGGACCTATACATGCAGAGAGATTAAGAGTTCTAAACCCTTCTCTCAAAAGGGTCAAAGAAATTTTCCACAAGATAAGTACATTCATAGCTCAAATATGTGCTAATCTGCCTAAAATGAGTAATGATTACTTTCAGTTTTCATCATGCCCATAAAAATTTCATTTTCAATGATGAATGTGTGTTCTCTTTGATGATTATTACATTAAATGTTGTTATTGTTTTGTTCGTATGCCAGGTTTGGTACTTGCAATGTTTTATTTATTTTTTTTCCATTTTATTAACATTTTGTTTTCAAGTTGTTGGCATACGATGAAATTAAATTTCTGATGCCCTATTTGCAAAATCGCCTCACAATAGTATTGATAGATGCAGTTCGTCTACTATTCACTCCAAAATGTTTGGCATATGATGAAATTCTAATTTGATGCCATAGTTTAAAGGTTTATTTACATAAGTCTTTATCAGTTGGCAATTGATGCAAACTCTATTCTGATGTCACGACTTACATTTATGTTTTTATACCTCAGGTCTGGCAGATAAAGAGACTAATATTATGCTGTATTAATTTTTTTTTTTATTGAAGAATATTGTTCCAATGTGTTTTTTGATTATGTAATTTCATAAACTTGTTTTCTCAATTCACAATAAAGTGTTGTGTAGAAATCTGATTTTCAATTCAATATTTTAATCCCAGAGTTGAGTTTGCATTGAAGTGTATTATATGAATATCAAGATGTATTTTTTTGTTCACTTACAGTGGTTTTTACAACACTGCTAGAATTTATTACAAATATGTTTTTTCATAAGGATTTTAAAAGTGCTTGATCGTTTATGAACTTTAATTTAATTGTAAGTATGGCCAGTGATAGTTGTACTTTTTTTCAACTTCAATGGTTGAGTGAATCAGTTGTATTTCTTGTAGTGATGGATCAGTTGTTTTTTTTAGTGATGAATCAGTTGTATTTTTTTTAGTGAATTTGGTTACACAACAATCAAGAGCTTTTGTGTCTTAAGGAGTGCAGACTGTTTTTTCATAATAAAAAAAAAACCATGTACAAACTTACATTAGGTGAAATGCCTTTCATAAAAAAACATTTACAACAGGTGAAACATAGACAAAATAGATCTAAGTGTTGAATTCCCATATCATTTGCCTTTAACTCTTAATTACTTCTTTAGGTTGTAATGCCTTGAAAGTTCTTATTTTTCAGCATGATGAATAAGTCTTCCAACTTCTTTGTAAGCTCTTGATTCCTTCTTTAGGTTCTAATGCCTTTGACACTTGTCATAGTACTTGCAATTGATAGCACTGGATAAGTGCTACCTATTCTAATAGGTCCATCACACGCAAAAAATCAATAACACGATGTGTCTGCATTTGTCATTTTCTCTTGTTTCATAGCAACTATTTTTTACTTTTTAAGTTGCCTAGTTGAAGAGAACTGGTCAAGTAGGCATCTTTTTCCACTGTCTGAATCTTCAGAATCTGCATCCCTTGAATTCTTTTGAGTTGCAACCACTGGACTATTCACTTCATCTTCTTTGGAGCAATCCTGAAAATTCAAACATATTAGTGAATAGACTAATATTATAAGGTAAGCTTTAAATTTGATATTAATGGTGTTAATACCTTATCAGGGTCTTCACTTCCTTATTCATGCTTATGAGGTCATTCTCTTGGTTCTCATTTAGCTTTGAACATTAGGCAGCTACTAATTCATCATCCCTCAATACTCTCATTACATTAAAAGTTGTTGTAGGGCCACATTTTGCATCTTTTTTATTTATTTTATGGAGACTTTGAAAATCATTGGCATGCAAATGAGGCCCTCCAATTCTGGAGGATGTCAACCCTTACCTAGAAAGAATATTAAGGAACAGTCTATGTTATCTATATATTATTATTGCAAATTAGTTTACCGTTGTCTAATGTCATCATTGTTTACCTGTTCATACTTTCAGCAGGTACATAGAAATACCTTCCCGCATGAATTGTAACACTAGTAAAAAGTAAGTTAATTTACTGCTTGCCATTTTTTTTATTCTTATGTGTTAAGATTCAATACCTTGCATTTATACTATCAACATAATCAATAGTACTAACCTTTTGTACTTGAAATAGGTCAGATAGGACAGTTACAACCACAAAACCATTTTTAAAATCACCAAATCCAGTAGACTGCGATAGAATAGTGGTAGTACTGACACTACACGCATGACTCTTCCACAGAGACAACCTAGATGAAAAGTAAAAATCCAAATAAGTAGTAGAAAATGTACTTTTAAAAAATATAGATTAGAGAACTGATTGCATTAGAAGGCCAATAGAATATTTAGTTGTCTTCTGCAGAGACAACTTAGCACTCCATAGTTGAATCACAACAATGATTGGTTCTTTAATATCCTGATTGTAAAACTGATGTATGGCAGCAATAGAAAACCCTTCCCATCACATATTTAGTAATAGAAAATATAATTGTCAAAAACCATTTAAAGTTCTATTCTGAGAAGATATTTGCAGATTTTCTTACCGAAAAGCTCCTTGTCGTTCACATCATCAGGATCTCTTCATCCACCCAGTTCTGGTACTTCATAGGTCGTTTGGTGTGCAGTGGACTGATAGCCATAATTGATACATAGAGAAGGCATTTTTTTGTTTTTCTTGCAGAGTATTGCCTATATGATTCAGAACCTGAGGTTAAATAGTTGATCTCCATCTACCTCTTTATATAGGTAGGAATTCGAACAGGACTCAACCTAGAGAAATGAAGAGTCCTCATTGGAATAATGTTATTAATGATTATGTTGTTTCAATTTAAAAGCCTTTATTTAAATTTTATTTAGATCCGTTTGTAATATATAATGCTATTTGCGTATAGCATTTAGAACACGTTCTCCAAGAATTTTCGAATAACGCGTAGTTGCCCTCTTTATAGCTCGGTAATTACAATCGCATTATATTTATAGCTCGGTAATTACAATCGCATTAAATTAGAGAATTAAATAGCGTAGCAAATCAGAACTCAAATGGCGTTGCATTAAACGATGGCGTTTCATGTGGGCGGGAAAATTTTTTGGCAAAAACTTCTTGCTTTATTATAGAGTTAAATTATCTAGAACTGCTACTCTTTCAAATAACGTAGGTATAACTTAAATCTCAGTTGTGCTATTTCCTGAAGATGGGTACTGTTAACACTGAATGCTAATTTTAGGGAAAAAAATATTTGTATATGGAATAGTAAATGTCATTAATTTATTTTATAGCAAAGTAAGCATTTAATTTAAGTAATCACCAAAGCAAAACTCTGTAAGATACAGACAGCTAACCAATTAAGCTAGCAAGATACCTATTACAAAAGGCTTTAGGAACCTAAAAGTAAAATCATTTTCCATACAACAAAGCTATTAGCATGCACAATAACTAGTACATGTTATACAAGTACCATCTAAACGCATAAAACCATCATTAACAACTTCACTCATTCCTCTAATATTAAAATGCACACAGACTGTTGGTCCCGAAAGGGTTGCGAGAAGTCTAGAGGGGGGGGGGGGGGGGGCGTTAATAGACTTCTCTAACTTTTTCAACTTTTCTCAAGCATACAACACTTTGGTAATTTCAACTCTAAGTAACAACCATAAACAAGTTAAACAACTTAGAGTGTGCACAACGGAATAAGTAGCGGTAAAGTGTTATGCTTTGATTGTGTAGTGCTCAAAGAGAGATTCTATACATGCATCACGTTAGAAACACTTGATATAGATTAGAGATGATGTATGTAAAATTTCACTTGCATGCAAACGAGGGAACTATCAAATCCAGACAAATAAAGATACACGATAAATCGTAATGGGTTAGTTCACAGTTGGTATAGGCATGCACGGAATTAAATGAACAGTAAGTAAATAGAGAGAGATTTATAGTAGTTCAGAGATGGTGTAATTCTCCTAGTCCACTCTTCTCCTTTCACTTCAAGGAGGAAATTCACTATTCTTCGATCACCCAGATACAATAGTGAATAAGTGTCCAGCGACACTTCTCCGAGTGCTTCGCCCAAAGCTACATTCCACCAAGGTTTTTCGCAAGCTCCTCTTGTTACTCCGCCTTCCCGAGTACTTCGCACCAAGCTGTACTCCTACACCACGAAAACTACGCACAAAGCTACGCTCTCACCAGGTTTTCACAAGCTCCTCTTGTTACTCTTCCCTTTACAACCGAGTGCTACGCACAAAGCTACACTCAAACTAGGTTTTTCACTCTCTCTAGTTACTCTACCCCTTTTCTACACTCAGTAGAAGATTTACAATGAAATACAATGATTTCTTCTCTCAGACTTGAATTCTATCGTATATAGCTCAATATATCACTTGATGTTTGATTGGATATTTTTCGTTGTTTGATCTCTCTTTTTTCACCGTACTTGCCTTCAAGTCTGCTTGGACAATTTATAGCTAATGAAAACTATTTGTCCGTTGATCAACTTTCGATCTCGATCGTCCATTTTGAATTGTAGTTGATCAAATAATTGTGCCAACTTGGTTTGCAAAGTCATTTCGCCGTTTGTCAGAAGATTTGAATAATCTTGCCATTGCTCTTCATGAATCTGACAAAGCTTTTCTTGGAATGTGTAGCCTCCAAATTTGAATTAATCTCAGGCTTGACTTTTGTTGAATTATTGATCTGATATGCCAAGTTAATCAAATAATTTATCTGCTGATTCTTGCTTGAGTATTTAAAAGATTTCCTTCGTGTATTAGCTTCTTCGACTCCTTCGTCTTCCTTCGCAAAGATACGGGTTCTAAAAAAAAAACATTCTGTCTAACAATTGTATCATGATGATGTCATATCCCTATTGTATATCATGTTCACCTTGTATCATGAACTAGTATCATGTTAGGCTAGTATCATGAACTTGTTATCATGTCTTCATAAAAATTGCTTCAAGTGAGAATCACTCCATGTATCCTTTGGTTCATTTACAAAGCTTCTTCCAACTCAACTAATTAACCTTTTGATACATATCATGACTTAAATCCTTTTGTCTCATCTCTATCTTCACGTGGGTTTCATAACTCTTCTAAAAGCATATCACGTTGTGACGTGATCATCCGATAACAAAAGATATCATGTTATCAAAACTATTTCTTCATGACGGCACTTCTCGATATTACACTTCCCGTTATTATTTCCCAATATCACTTCTTGTCTACCACTTCATGATAGCACTTCACCATAGCTTGTCTTAAACCTTTTTAGACAAAAATGTTCTCAACAAGAATCAAACCATAAACCATCAAGTATCAAGTACACTTTAACAAATCTTCTTCCATCTCGTCCAATTTAACCTTTGATGACTTAAGCGCTTCATAAATGTGTTAAGCTATGATCCCGCTTACATTTATTCTTCCACCAAAACTTATACAATATATCCCTAACAATTTCCCCCGTAGACTTCATGGCAGGGTGCACCATACTTTGTGAACCAGGACTGACTCAAATAAAATAAAATTGGGGTCTACAAAATACATTTGGCTCATCAAAACTTATACAATATATTCCTAACAATTTCCCCCTTTTTGATGATGCCGAAACTTATACCCAAGTCATTTGGCTATGTCAAATTTTGAAAAATAATCTTTTTGTCCAATTTTATTGCGACTAGCCATTTAACGGGTTTAACACATTTAGGACTTAGAGATTTTAATTTTGGACGGTCCTAAACGTATATTGAGACTAAGACGCGGGGTTTGCGTATTGATTTTTATCTTTTAATTTTTCTTCCCCCTTTCAATTTTATTTTCTCAATTATACGCATTACATGCATTTGCTAAGTCCTATTAAAATCTTGAGACTTTAAATCAATTAAACAAACACACTAGTCAATTAACGAGATAGGCCGTGAGCTAGCTATTATATTGTGTACCAAAAGATATAATTCGAACAAGCTAGCTAGGATTATGTACACCAAAAAGAATAAGAGACTTCATTTTTACCTCTTGCCAATTAAGGCATTCACATGTGCCCTTAGCTTCTTGAAATCTTGTTCACCTTCTTTGAGTTGGTATGGTGCGGTGACTTGCTCGGTTACATAGTTTCCATATGCTTCTTGAATATTCTCACCCCACAACACTCCGGCTTGATACCAAGCAACGCATTCTTCAAATGATCTTCCATCTACCATCTCGTTGCTTGAGTGTTCGAAGAAAGTCTCCAACTCACGTACTAGCTTCAGCTTGGTCTCATCATAGATTGATCTTGAAGGTGATGACCTTGGGCAATCTTGTGGACTTGGTAAATCTGAATTTTGAGCAGTCACAAGATACTCCATAATTCTTCCTCCTCGACCTCGTCCTTGACTTTGAACCTTTGGCATAGGAGAAACTCCTCGTGGTACTCCCGGAAGTCGAACAAGCTCAACGAATGGCCGTTGTGATGACGGTCCAATCAAGTGATTTGCCAAATGACTTGGAGCTCCTCTAGCCCTTTCCCCCTTTTCGACAGCAACAACATAGCTTTGAAAGCTTGCCGAAGCTTCGAGTTGGCTTTTCTGAACTCCAACTAATAGATCATTGTTCACGCCGGTTTGATGAAGTAAGGCCTTCAACTAATTTTCCACCAACCGTAGTCTTGATTCGCAATCGGTTCCTTTCTTTCCCAAATCGAGGAACATCTTCAAGACTTCCCGGTTGTGCTCTTCTTGCTTGGTGGTCATCATAGCCATATCACCTTGCATTGATCCTTGGCCAAGAAGTAATGATTCGGCCCTTTCATACACACCTTTGTGAAAATCATCCAATTTGGTATCAACATTACCAAATCGATGGTGAACTTTCTCAAACTCTTGGGAAACATCTCCTCTCATCTCTTGAAGTTCCCTGCGTACATCTCCAACAATATTTTCCCTTAATGCATCAACATCAATGGAATGAGAGTGTACCTCCTTATGTGCCATAGGTAGTGGTCTCGGCAAGGTGGACTCAATCGGTTCCGGTGCATCCATTTGTGTTGTAGCATCAAGATGTAGTGGCTCGGCAATGGTATTATCAATAGGCTCGGCACAACTTAACGGTAACGAAGTAGATGATTCAACTTGCATCACTCCCTCTTGTGCATTCTCACGGGTTTCATGCTCATTCAAATCACCAACATTTTCTTCATTCATCAATGATGTAGGATTAAGTGTGACTTGATTATTCTCCAAATTTTCATTTACCGAAATTGTCACATCGTGGCCGTGTGTGGAGAGATAGCATCAAAACTAAGATTGTCACCTCCAAAATTCAAAGGAAATGCATCCAAATCATTTAGACTTCCACCATCGGTTTCCTTCAAAGTTGATGTTTCTCCCGGTGGTCCGTGAGCTTCCTCTCTTGAAAGAATCATAGCTCGGGCAATGTCATCACGAGCAAATCCATCAAATGTCTCGACGGCATCTTCGGTAACAACTTGAGCAACTTTCTTTCCTCGGCTATTGGCAACTTTCTTGATAAAACATTCATTGATCACCGATAGCCTCGTAGCAAGAGCAAGGTTTCTTGTACCTAACCATGCTAGAGCAAACTCCTCTAACTCAAGAGTATTCGGCCCTATGGTTGTAGCAACCGAATGGTGATCACTCAATCTCCAATTTCTCCAAAACATAACATGATTAAGCTCCCCCAACAAAACACTATCCGCCCCGTACGTAGGAATGTCATCTACACTCCCAACTTTGCTTAGAACTCCCACTTCATCTTCATTCGGGTTCGAGGAGTTGACTATGGGTGCGGGTAAGGTAACAAAGAGATGGCTACAAGCATCATCACTAGCTCTCCCGTGGGTGTTGGACTCTCCATGGCTCGGTTCTCGGATAACAAGGGATTTCTTGGTTAAGGATA